TGTGGCTTTTGATGTTGTATGAATAAATATATGTATTTTGCAGTTTTTTCGTTTATTGATATTATGCGTCTTTAAAGAAAATAAACGAATCGAGCTGAATTCGAACCTTTAATTCACATGCTGCTTGTTTTGTTTAGCATCTATCAATTTATCAAATATCTAACTAGTCAGAGTCGAATCCGAGCTTTAATTTCCTCACAAGCTTGTTTAGCTTAAGTTGGTGCTCCGTCGAGCTCTTTAACCGCTCTAGTTCAAGCAATAAACGAGTTGAGTCCCTAATTCAAGCAATAAACAAATTGAGTCGACCTGGACCGAGCAATAAACGAATCGAGTTCAATGTAACCACTTGAGCCTACTGTCATTCCTAGTTCGAGCAATAAATAAATTGAGTGCGGTGGATCGAACTCGAGCCTTTGAGGCAATGAGTGGAACTCGAGCCTTTTAATTATTGTGAGTTGAGTCGAATTTGAGTTATTGATTTATCAATATCAAATGAGTCGAGTCGAGCCTTTGATGAGTAGCTCAAATGAAGCCACCTACATGGAGCTATCAACAATTAGATAAATTAGATAAAAGTAAAAGAGGCAATTAGCTGAACGAGCCTTTGATGAGTAGCTCAAGTGAAGCCACCAACATGAAGCTACCAACAATTATGTAAATTAGCTCAAACTTGGGAAAATGCTACGGACCCGTTACGATATCATCTCGTCAGGTGTTTTAAGGCTTGATTGTTTATGAAATAACTTGTTCAAATTGAGTTATTTAATTTGGTTAACTATAGTTAATTTTGAAAAAAATGGTATGGTTAGTTGTAGTGGAATTTTAAAAATGTATTAAAATAATATTTAAAATAAAATAATTAAAATTGATTTGATGTAAAAGTAAGAAATAAATGATTGGAAATAATAGATAGTTAAAATTATGTGAGTGGGTAAATAGTAAATTAAAGTTGATGTGATGTGTAAGCATGATTGATTTGTATTATTTAATTATATAAATAATATTAAAGATAGTGATGTTGGGTTAAAGTTGAATTAGATTTTGAGTTAACATAAAAGTGAGTAAATTATTTTGTAAACAATCACCCCCTCAATTGTTGGATCCACGAATAATTAAATAAGATAGATAATCCAACAATTATAACACGTTATGGTAGTCATTTTCCCAAGTGTTACGGCATTTTTATATTAGTCTCACTTAAGTACTTAAATTCAGTACCGATCAAAAAAAAAAATAAATAAATAAATACTTAAATTCAGTCAAAAAGTATTATGCCGAGAAGTCGAGGGACTCGAGTGTAATTTTTCAGAGCACCTTCTTTCCTTCTTCGAACCCCAGAAAATCTCAGTAGCCGCAATAGAAAACTCTGCCAACACCAGCCAATCTACGGAAATTTTTTGATCTTTTCTCTGAAAAAATGCAGAAACTGAAGCTCCTGTTACCGTTCGTCCGTTCATTACAGAGAAATGGCTCTGTTAATCGACAAAGTAGATGCTTTTCGGCTCTCCCTAGCTACACCCAGCCCGATTATCTCCAACAAGAAGAGGCTAGTGTTTTATTTTTTTTTCCCCTCTTTTATTTGTTTTAGTTGTTAACTAATGTGTTCGAATTGTGTACTTATTTCTTGAGCTTGGAGCTATGGTAGAAATATCTTGGTGATTTTTCACTCGCAAAAGTTCTGCTCTTTCTTCATGTATTTCTTTTTTTTTTTTTACTGAAAAAAGGTGAAGAATTTTGTTTATCTCTGTTTTTCTTGGCATATTTTTTTTTGGGAACTATAATGGTGTTCGAAAACTTAAGATTTTAAGTTTACATTTGTATACACTTATTATATACTGAAAAGATTTGATTTTTAAGGAACCCCTTTTCATGTTTTTGAAAAAAAACAAAAACAAAAACTGCAGGTTCTAGTGCAAGGCAGAGCTAATTCGAGGATGGCTATTCTAAACAGACCTTCTGCTCTTAATGCTATCACCGCCTCCATGGTGAATTCCATGTTAAATTCTCTGTTTAATTTCATTCCTATTTTATATGCCTAATAGATTGTGGTTTTGTGTTTTCTATTAAACAGTGTGCTCTAGTAAAAGCACATGTTTTAATTTTTCAGTGTTCAGCTTCTAGGGTTTATGTTTTGGCTATAGGACTTGTCTTTTTAGTTTGCATTAATTTCGATCATTTTGCAATTAAATGCTAGGCCGCTCGATTAAACAGATTATACGAGTCGTGGGAGGAGAACTCGACTATAGGATTTGTCATGATGAAGGTAAATGAATGTTTTAATTCCAACCCCGTGTGATATTTAACTCGTTTTCCCTCTCGTAAAGTTGTTCTTTTTTCGTGAAGGGGGGCGGTGAAAGGCCATTCTGCTCTGGCACAGATGTGGTTGCTCTTTATCGGCTGTTCAATGAAGGTCGGCCCCTATGTGAAATTTTTGGTTTCTGTTTTTTATTTATTTTTTTTAATATCATTTTGGAATTGCTGAATCGAGCCTCAAGAACTGATACTATTTGTCCATAATAGTGAATTTGATCCAGTGTGTATGGTTTCAACATTTTTCATAGATATTCATAATCAATATTCCAGCAACATATTGATGAGTTTATGTAGCCCCAATGCTCAAATATAGCTCCTTGTGTATGTATTCCCACACTATTGATCTGTAGTCTAAAAATTGGTACTTTAATATAGATATACGTGATTAAGCATTTGTCTAACCTGTTAGGATAATTTATCCACCAAATCATGGGTTAGTGTTGATGAATAACTGATGGCATCGACCCTGGTTGAACATGATGACTCTTGTGCTTTTTTCCTAGGATTAATTTACTTTAAATTAATTTACAGGGAAAACTGAAGAATGCAAAGCATTATTCCAGAGTTTGTACAAGTTTGTCTATGTTATGGGAACATATCTTAAGCCACACGTGAGTTCATTTATCCGTATCCATTCTGATGGGAAGCTTGGCTAAAGAATAAATCTTCTATTTATTTATTTATCTATCTATCTATTTGTTTATTTATTTTGTGTGTGTGGACTGTACTCTTTCTACCATTGCCCCCAATTTTTGAGGACATTAAAGATGAATTTAATGTCTTATATATGCGGTTACTCTACCATGAAGAAGTTGTTAGCTTTGTTTACTTTGCTTTTTTGTGGTTGTCCTTTCATATAATTTGTGCATGAAGTATGAACCTGTAATTTTGTAGTCCTCAAAATGCTCCCTTTAAAAAAAAAAAGGTAACAAAAAAGTAGAGATAGTTCTTATTCTAGGGAGTATCTTCTCTTTCAGT